GCTTCCGTAGTTGGGTCACGCTGAGGCGATTCCCATAGTGAAACACCGAACGAAGTTAGAAAAAGAACACCACATACACAATGTCATGAACACGATGTAACACAGAGGCTTGACATATAGATAACTTATCTCTGATCCCATAAACATGTTTACTCATTTTACTGCGACGGCACTGTGAGAGTCAAGGTTGCTTAATTTGCTAAATGATCTTGTGAAATAGACGCTAAGGAGAAGAAAAGAAAAAAGAGAGGCTTGTCCACAAAGTGGTAAACATGGTCAGCAGTTGCTGGCCCCTCACTTGTGCTGTGTTATTGGTCAACCCAGTGCAAATTTGAGAACTGCTGCTGGACTGGATCCACGTTCCAAATGAATAAAGACATTGTCAGAGTACTTGGAAAGCACACCGCTTGGTGCACATAAACAGCACTGAGGCAAAACAGAGAACTGCCTCCCTGATTCCTCTCTGCACAAATTAGTTGTTGCAATTGTTCGAGGCTCAGCTCTGTCGTCAGCGCCGCTCCGGCCCGAGCCAAGAGATGATACAGGGACACTGGCAGAAAGGTTTAGTGCAAGCAGATACCAGTGGGATCCCAGCATGTCGCCTCTCTTGTTTTGTTCTAGTTCGTCTGCATTCGTGGATGATCAGTCTTATTTACCTGTGGAGTCCTTTCGGAACAGAGTGTTCATCACAGTTCCGTGCAGCTTCACTCTGTCCCATTCTCTGACCATCAGCCCGGCCGAGACAAAGTGCTCTACCAGCCGGTCTGCAATTACCTGCAGCCTGCAGCGTGGGAATATTCAAACAGACAGCATGTTAAAACACTATGGAGATGAGACGGACACACATTTATTTCTTCTCTGATGTACTGACCTGTCAGATCCGTCTTTCACATTGACTTTTGCATACAAGACATCCACCATGGCCGGGTCGTCATTCATGTACTCTATGCCTTTCACCTCCAACTGCAGCGGCTTTCCCTCAGTGATGTCCCTGATGATGAGCAACACGGAGAAGATTACACACATAAAAAAATAATACTGCTGCCATTTTGCCAGATTCACTTTTTCCGTTTAAGCATCTTTACAAGACAGTTTTGAAGTATCCACTGCTGTTGAATTTATACAGAACCATAAAGGGATCGAATCAATACTGGCTATATATCTGTACACAAACCACACTCAACAGATGCTTGTAACGCATATCTATTCCCTCAACCATACAGAGTCACCTTATGCTGCAGAAATGCAGAGTTTGAGGTTAAAGCTGAAATAACCTTTGTGCCAAATCCTGTGGAAAATAAACACGTCACCTGTCAAACAAAGGAATTTAAACAAGCTTCTGTTGGTTTTGATTAAACAAAGCCACCAGTTTATGACGACTGCATGGAGACTGTGAAGTGTGAAATTAATCAGAGTCAACGCAGTTTCATTCAGATGAACATAACCTTTCAAATTTGGTTAGTTCAAAGACATTGTAGTCATTTCCCCCTCTACCATTTGTTACTACAAAGTATCAACGAAAAACAAACACAGCTGAACCAGCAGGGCAGAGCTCTTGTAAAGCTGCTTATGGCTTTTGGCACCTAGTTGTTAATAGCATATCCTCCACCCATTCCTCTCACATCCAACATAACTCTGAGAATTTACAGGTCACTGAATAATTTGTCTCACATCCTGACATGTCACACTCTGGGACAAAGTGCAGTTAATCTAAGAACAGTGGTGCACTACCCATATACACTAATATATTAGTACTACTAATATCCACTAGTGGTCCCTTGCTAGGTTCTAGAATGCAATTTTTGAATTCACCTGTTCATACTCAGATATCGTTATGAAGTCGATCCCGAGTTTTTCTCTACAATCAACCCCAAATTGGAGGCATGATATTGACGTTCAGTCATCATTATCCTTTAAAGCTCCTCTAGGGGCCACCTGCAACATAACCACCTCCTCCCAACAATGGTGTTCACTGTTACTTCTTTGTAGGTTAATTAAGTGTCTTCATAGTTCCTGGGATTTAAAAACGCCAACTTCTAAAGGGATAATAATCATTCTAGTTTTTCACAGGCTTCATTAACAATAAGAAACGCTAAGAAGGTGGTACTTTGTTGTTCAGAAATGGATGCGGTTTTCTTTTTAGTATCAGTTTTATGTCAGTTGGATGGAATAAATGTTTTAGCCCCTACCTGGTGAAACTTTCATACTCTTGCAGGTGTTCACAGGCTTTCCTCACTTCCATCTCATTTAGCAGAGCCAGGGTGCCAACGGTGAGGTGAAGTTTAGCAGGGTTCTGAAATATGCTCTCCTCAACTCCGTGATCCTACACATCATGTTATGACAGTTTGTGAACAAATCAACAACAAATGAAAACAGTCTGCTGATTTTTAAAACCGTAAATTCTAGCAGCCGTTGCCAAACGAATACCTGCGAACACTGCTGCAAGACCTCCTCTTTAAATTTGAGGAATCCTTCTTGAATTTTTGAATTGTTTAAAGGAAATGACAGAAAGTGAGTGAAAGGCTGCTTCCTCCGAAAACTTTCCACGAGGACCTCAATGCGGGTGACTGCAGAAGAGACTCCGGCTTTGCTGGAACCTGTGATAACTATTACAAAAAGTGAAAAAAAGTGAACTGACAATCTTTTATGAAGGCTTCAATGTGACTAGATTAGCTGTAAATGCTCACCAATCTGTCCTTCCATTCCTGGTTTTGGGATGCTGACAGATGTTTTGGTGTCATACTCCAGGCGTCTACGTGTTTCTCCTTTTTTTCCAATGATGTACCTGTAAAGCAAACACATTATGTACCCACACACACACATTAGGCGGCTGCTTAGACACCTTTCAAGCAGAACACAGGCCAGGCTAAATGTGTGAATTTTGGAAACCCCTTACTTGTAGAGAACACTTGGGACGTCAATGGCACAGCGGTATCCTTTGTCTGTCTGTTCAATGAAGTGGCTCTGACAGCTTTCTTCTTCAGCGAGATCTTCACTTTCTTAAAACAAAAATGCAGAGTTGACACTGGGAGTTTCACACTTTTATATATGTTGACTGCCATCACAAACTTTACCTGATGGTTCCATGTAGGAGAAATCTTCTTCTTCCTCATAGTGTTCTTCTTTAACTATGTTCCTACGGTATATTCTTCCATTTATGTTGATAAGAGGTGGCCGTAGTACATCCATACTTTTAAACAGAAGATGTTAGCTAAACCTTTACAAAAGTAACGAAATAAAAAAGAGAATTACAGAAAATATGATTATATGAATTACTTTGACTGTGTAACGTGTCTAGCTAGCTGGTTGTTTTTTAACGTTCCAGTTTACGAAACGTAGAGCCGTTTTTTGGTTTTAGCTGATCTACCAAACACATGACGAGACCACTCCATTATGGTTTGTACCGATGCGCCATCCGTATGTTTGGAAGATCTAGCAAAAGAGCCGTAGCTGCTTCTAACGTAAAACGTTGTCTGTCGTAAATAAGTAGGACCCAAACAATCCAGAATTCATAGTGCTGGATCAAAGACGCTTTACTTAGACAACTGAGGTATGGTTTTTCGTTGAAAATGTCGACGTTATTGTCTTTCAGTGTCTATAAACATAATTTTCGAGTATTATCTCTTGTCAGGACTGTTAGCAAACTTCTTAGCTACGGTGCTGATCACTTTTTAGTCGTAGTAGATAGCTTACTATCAGATTACATTTGAAAAATGGAAGCATGCTAGCTAGCGTTTGTTGATTTGTGTTTCTAATGACTACAACATGTATTCCCTTTTGTGCTTATGTGACATATGTAATAGCCGTGCTAACAACAGCTCTTGGATTGTGTTTTATAGCCTCCTGAGGTGATGGCAGCGTCCTCTTCGTCGTCCTCTGCGGGAGGTGTTAGCGGCAGCTCGGTGACTGGTTCTGGATTTAGTGCATCGGAGCTCATCCCTCCAAGAAAAGTCCTCTACACGTATCCTAAGGGCGCAGGTGAAATGATGGAAGGTAAGGGAACTCTGTTTAGCCGGGGCCTCTGAATTCTCCATTTGTTTGGTGATATCTCCCCGAAATAACAGCTTAAATGTAACTTGACATCAGTTTTAACCTCCAATTCAAGTTGTATGTATGTAGTCCATTTACCTACACATTTAATCATAATGATAATAAAATGTTATAAAAACAAGATCAATACAAATCTGCCTCGATGAGTCCAGATGTGAATGTACATGCACTTATATAGCGCTTTTCCAGTCAAGATGACTACTCAAAGCGGATGACATTTTACCAACACAAACTAATGAAACAGTCCAGGAAATTATGCAAAGGCAAAATTGTAAATATGATATTAAAGATAGCTATATTATATACAGACATAGCAAATGGATAGGACAGAGTTTGAGAGGATCTCAGTGAATCACAAGATGTCCCCAGCAGCCTTGGCCCTAACTGAAGGGAGGGAAGGTTGAATGCCATTTTAAACTTGATTTTAAATTAAAGTAGGTTTTACTCTGGTAAGGTTCATCTTTTTTGAAGCTCAATAATACGATTTGAAAAGTATTGCGTGTCTCTACCGTTGTGTTTCTCTGTAGATGGCTCTGACAGATTTTTATGCGAGTCTGTGTTCAGCTACCAAGTTGCTTCAACTTTGAAACAGGTTAAACAAGGTAAGTCAACCACCACATATGCAAAAATCTGTTTGTTTCAGTTGCTTCAGTTAAAAGATTGGCCTGATGGTGAAGTAAAGGTTGTGTTTTTTCCTCAGATCAACAGCTCTCCCGAATGGAGAAACTCGCAAGCCTGGTGGAGGAGCTTGAAGCAGATGAGTGGCGGTACAAACCAATAGAACAGCTACTAGGATTCACACCATCGTAGAGGGGATTCAGAGGGCTTTGGTTAATAAATCGGTCACAAAGAAAAAAAAAAAAGGAGATGTTTTATTCATATCATAAATTATAACCCAACTTTATAGTTATATTTTGTAACATAAGTGTGAGATGTTTTTTTGAAGATACTGAATGGAAGGTACATTTTTTATTTTTTTATTTATCCAACCCAACAAACTGAAACGAACATAGACTAAATTCTACACACTATATAAATATCAAGGCAATGAAAAATGTAGCTTTGTTGTTTTTCCTATTTTCATTAGCCTGTTAAAGTTACCCAGATTTAGCCTTGATGTTATGGAAAACTATATGTTCTGTAATAAATCCCTCCAAGTGAAGCACTGTGTTGGCGGCTCTTTAACTCATACATCTAAAAACCTGCTGCTTGTACTGTTTTTTTTTTCCTCTCTCTGCTGGTCCTTGGTCAAAAATTAGCATTGGAGCTGAACAATGAGAGCTGTTAAATAAAGTTGGACTTGGACATTCTGGCATCAGCTCTTGTGTTTCTTGATTACGTTGTTTGTTTTAATCCTCTTTAAAATCTTTACTTTTTTTGTTTTATGTAGTTTCATTTCACATGGTTTCCTGTTACATGACACTTGTGGATGCTGTTTTCGAGTCATTACAGTGTTGACAACAAAAAAGACATGCAAATCATGGTGTTCTGCTCGGTGAATGATTTGTTTTTTTCAAACAAATCAAGGTTGGGAACGCACAGAATGTACTGTTCTAACTCAGAGTATGAGGACAGCCCTGGACACTAGGGGACACGCCTACAGCAGGAGGTTGAACTTTGAGGAATTTGATATCAAGCTGACTTTCTAAGATTTCAATTGCCCAATCGTTGCTTGTGATGTTTTCTTCTCATACAGTCTACATTCTGTGATATATATTTTTCTTGGCGAAACTTTGACGTGAGCACTTCTGATTCAACACATCCTCCGCCGAATGTACTGTGCCCTCACGTGTTTATGTTTTCAGTTCCTCCCTTACAGAGAACACCCTATCCCGCCTACTCACGTGCAGCAGTGTAGCATAAATTTGGCTGCTTTCCAAAATTGTGTCTGAGCAAGCTGTGCATAAAGCATACCATGGATCCAAAAGAAATACACCAGCAACATTTCTTTTAATGCAAAATTCTCAACAAAACATAATCTTTTATAGTCATCATGCAGGGGTTGTTATGCATACATTCTTGCATTGTTGTATTTGTGATGGCCATCCATTATGTTTGTTGTTTTTTAAAGACAATTATGAGAAAGTGTTAAATCAATAAAAAAATAAACATATTTCTAAGAAAAACATTTAATTTGTGTATAGTGTTTACATATGCACCTCATTGTGTGTGCATCTATGTAAAAGAGATAACAAATTCTGATGTAATGGTTGAGAAAAACAGGTGACGTCATGTACACTGCAACACTAAAGCGGCAGAGACTGTATGAACTTTATTCTATATTTGCATAGCTGGATGCATGAACAGCAGAGCAACGTACATACGCTAATGCCGGGTGTTGAACAAAGAAAAACAATATAGGATGCTGGCAAGCTCATACAAGTCCCTGTACATTTCCACTACATTGGATTCTGCTATCCATCCCCCACAAGCCCCCCTTTCTCCCGTTTGTCTTTCTTCTCTGTTGGCATGTTACCAGGCAAGATACAGCGCAGATGGCGTGCCTCTCTTTTTGATAGGCTGGCTGGATTTAGGGAGGCGTGGTCTAATATTCCCTATAAATACATTGTTGCGGGACAGACTGCGGCGCTTGGCAGCTGGTGAGAACACTGACGGTTGCAACGAAAGAAGTTTCTAGACAATAGTCACTGACAATACATATCCAAAGAAACTATCCTTTACGACGACAACCAATTTGGACGTCTCCGTTTGGAATTATACTGTGAGTACGATGTTAAAATTGTGAATTTTCGTTGCTTTTAAAGCTAATTTGACGTGATTTTGCTGCTAGCTGCTTTAAAAAAAAACTAAAGTGCATTTTTGTTGAATACTAACACTTGTCATACATATCATTTAAAACAAGACTTCAAATACTTATTCTTTTTTACAGTTTATTTGTAGTTTAATTATGAATATTTGTTGAGTATTAATTTGTTCCCCCCCCCCTACATAAATATCTGCAGAAAGAAGAACCATGCCTGAAGTACTTGCACCAACAGACCTTGGCAGCTCACCTCCATCCCCTGTGGACAGTAGCCCCCGAAGAATGTCCTGGGGCAAACTGGTCCAAAGACTGACTGATTTCAGCACAAACAGCGGCAGTTTTGAGTCGGAGTCGAACAATGGCAGCAGAAGTGATCTATCAGAGTCAGGTAAGCGTAGCTGAAAACAAGTCTGATTGTTGGGTGAAATCCTTGCTCTTTATTGAAAGCGCTAACCTAATGTATCTCCTCTGCAGGATCAGATTTCTTCAATGACCTGTGTACCTCTGACGATAACCTATTCTACGATCCAATGGAGGCGACAATCCTGAAGGAAGTCGTGGAGCTTATTGCACAAAGCCTAAGAGAAGCCAAAGACTCAGACTGCGCCTTGCGTTGCGCCAAGTTGCTCATTCCAGAGAAACTTCTGGAGCATATTGGTCAGGAACTTTTTCACCTCGCAGCTAGTGAGCCCTGCGGCTTGCGAGGGGCTCTGATTGACCTCTGCGTGGAGCAAGGCGCAGTCTGCGAGAGCATGGGACAGCTTTCCGTGGACCCCTACCTCGTCCCAACCTTCCAGCTGACTCTGGTGTTACGGCTCGAGTCCAGCGGCCTCTGGCCCAAAATCCAAGGACTATTTAGCTCCAAGTCTTCTTCCACTCCAGTAGTCAGACAAGCTATTAAACTAAGCACTGGTTTCCGTGTGATGAAGAAGAAACTGTATAGTTCTGAAGAACTGCTCATTGAAGAATGTTGAGGGATTCTTTTAATGTCCGAGTTGTCGGTAAAAGCTCACAGAAGGGCCTTATAACTTTAAAAATATGATGCCTTCTGAGGTGTACGGATATTAGTCATGATGTAGCTTTTTCTTTTTACTTAAGGGCACCTGAAACGTATGGTACTTGGAAGAGATGACGCTTCAACACCTGTGCAAATTTCAGAATTCTAAAGTGTAACCATCATACTATATCTAAGGCATTTTGCAATTGTAAAAGTGCGTACTTCAGTTTCTATTGAAACTTTGTAAAGGCAGCTAGTTGTATTGTTTTTATTGATTTTTGTCAAACCCATGACGATTAACTGAATTGGACACGCATGAAAAATAATCCGTATCCCAGTTGATCAGACTTAAAACCTTTTAGGACGGCTCGAGGGAACACCTGCCGGCTTGTGTGTGCACAGGCTGAGGCCGTGATTCAAACGTCACTCCATTTTACATTTGGTTGGACCTGTCCTGCTTTTGACTTTATTTGATACTGAAATATTCATAGCATTGCACTGTTTTTTGTACTTTCATGACGGCAAATAAATTATTGTTTTCTAACAATTTCCTCTTTGTTGCCTTACTTAATGAACAATATATATAGACTTGGTCAACTATTGTAGAGTGGTAAACTGAATGTAAATCTAACATCCATGTCACGATATGGTGTTAGATCTCTGATTACAAGTTACGCAAACTATAGATGCAACCAGTTTGAGGATACAGTATCTACCATAGAATACATTTAAAAAAAAGTATGACACAGCTAGCTCGATGCGGCCTTTGAACTGTTTCTGTTACATGATTCTTGTTTTTTTTCAATTATGGCATTAAAGTTACAACAGCACTGATTTTGTTAGGCAATGGGAGTTTAATCCACAGACTAATAGGGTCAAATTCTGAAACTGTCCAGAGCCAGAATGCTCATGGGAACCAATTCTTAGCTTATGTCTTTCAACATCGAAGGGGATGGAACTAAAATTCCATTTCACCCTCAAAGAAGCTAATCAGAAGGGAAATGTTCTGTCCACTTGGATCCAGCTGTTTTTAAACAAAAAAAGGAAAATGATTCCTATGATAAAGTAATCAGCCCACTATAATTAGTGGGACAGGCTTACTTGTAGGTGCTGGACTGACATGTGATGACTGTAAATATGGTTTCATATCATTCCTATAGTCTTCACATGAAACTATTCTATGTGCGCATTTCCTAAAGAAAACATTCCCATCCGAACTATTTCATCATGGACGATGACTCTGAAAAACTGAGCTGACTCGAAGAGATGCTTTCCTCAGAGTAAACAACAGGGGCCAAACTATCCCAGCAGAGGGGCCCCCAAACCATAATGGAGATACTGGATAACCCCAAATGCCATGGTCAGATGTTGATACGGTTCCTTTAATTTGGCACCCAACTGTAAAGCAAAATGGAGACCATGATAATGAAGAAAAAAACACCCAAATTCGAGTCAGAGAGCGGAGTTGCAACATCTGCCAAAACAGCTGAGTTTATTTTTGGCGAAGGAATGTGACGCAGCGTTTTCAGCCCAGCACAAGCGGCACGTCTCCTCCCAAACTGCGAACGTGCTCGCTGCCATGTGTCCAGCTCCCAGCCTCAGTCGCTCTGCCGGCACGTTCAGTGCCAAAATCGCTGAGTGGGCTTTTGTCTTCGCCTCTGTGCTCGCAGCAATGAGTCACATTCAACACGTTTCAGTGTCCACATTTATTTTCAAGGGGGGGGGGGGAGTAAAAACATGGTGGAAAAAGCGAGCAAGCTCTGCGCTGTTCTCATAGTCTGTTACGACTATCTGACAAATAAATATAAAAAAAATGAATTAGCATTCTATAAACTCAGACAAATGAGATGTATCAGATAGTTACACTCGGCTCGTATAACTTACTGTTGTCCCACTTGGTGGGTAAGTAGACTTCTCATCATCTTGGTGTCAAGTGTGACGAGAAGTTACAGCGTACAACTCCTACTGATACAAGTAAACAATGCAAAGTTACAGGGATGCTTCCGTACCGTTATCTCACATGACAGGAAAAGACCAATCTCAGGTGTTCGAGAGCCAAAGCCTAGACATGAGTGAACGTATTCATGAGATGTTTTGCATTATTCCTGCATAGTTAGAAAGTGCATTTGGAGTCAGTGGGTGGGTGGTGGTGGGGGTGGGGGGGCGGTTCTTTTCCACTGAGCTGACGGCATCAAAATCAGGGGAAGCATTCGATGTGGTATCACCACTACATAAGTAACATCCATATTACTAGTAAGAGCTACACTATATTCTGGTTTCACGCTGGGTTTCTTGCAAACTAAAAGGTCATAAAAGGTGATATTTTGTGGCTTTTCGGCTCCCAGTCAACAGCGATGCTGACAGGCTATTCAAAGCCGCGTCTAGTCCGGAGGTCAGGATACGTTCGATGGCTTTTTTTTCATTTCATAATAATATACAGAGAGAAATGATTTCATGTTAATTCCACAATGAAAATTCCACAGAGACGGTTTGCTCGGCCGGCCTGTGGTGAGGATTAGTGCTGTGTTGGTGACGCTGGAGTCGTCGTCGGCCCTCCTGATTGTTAAAGCCTACGTATTTACAACCAGTCGTCTTTTGCGGCGACTCGGTAAAACCTGGAAAAGAAGAGCAGAGCAGTTTGACCTCTTGGAATGGTGCTAAAACGGGGGAAGCGGGAGCTATGACGTGTGCGGAGGGGGACTTGCTTTCAGTGTAGTGAGGCGGTGATCTCGGACAGCTTGGCGCAGCTCGGGGTCCGAGCCCTCTGCGCTCTTTGGTACAGCTCAGAGTCTCCGAAATAGCGAGCTCTGTACAGCATGCCTTCCTCTGAAAAAAGGATCACACAAGCAGCACATTACAAAAAAATGCAGGGAATGAGGGGAAGTGGCATCTGGCTACACCGTACTTTGCTGCTTCTCCTTCCAGCAGTTGTTGCGAAGGTTTGAAATATAGTCGTCCTCCACGGAGCGCTCCAGAACTTTGAGATTCCCACCGCTGAACTCCTTGGAGAACTGCTCCCCCACGTAGTATGGCACCTTCAGATTTTCAGTCAGCCTCTTGTGCGAGTAACCCGCTGACCTTTTGAGGAGATGACAAAGTGTGTAGGAGGCCTCTTGGGAGGGAATGCAGCATGAGGATGACAGGCCTGACACCAGCTGTCTCTGTTAACATGACTCAGGGTTGATAATGGCTCACGGATGAGCCGGGAACTGCACTCTGAAACACGAAGACGGCGGACGTGGAGCAAGACGGGGCTCTTAGAGACTATGCAGAAAAATTCCTGCCTGACACAATAAGCGTCTGTGTAGGGGTCGTGAATCTGTAAATGACTTGTCATTCATTCACATGAATGATTTCAAGAGTAGCCCCCATCATTAATCCAGTAGTTTACACACAAATCTAAAAGAATACACCATGAAATGCCCCTTGCTGAGTTTTATGTAACATGAGGATAATCTCTCCTCCAAGCCACTTGTGTTGTGCGGAACAACACTTTGGTGCGTTATCTAACATCCCTCTGAAGGAGAAGATCAGAGCAGGGAACACACTCACGGCCTGAAGCTGAGGCTGTAGGAGGGGCTGTTGCCCATTATCTGACTCAGAGCTGACACGATAACCAGGATGAGGATGGGCATGACCTGCACGAAAAGGGCAAGGCCTCCCTGCAAAAGAACACCCAGGGAAACAAAGTTAGTAGGTGACAAGGTACTGCCCCCTGCTGGCGAGGGAGGGGACCCACGCGTCAGGGGTAAACGAATGAACCGGGGCGTCGAACTCACGTCCCGCGGCCGCTCTCGCCTCTCCCGCCTTTGGTTACGCATCCGTCCGTTAGCGTAGACGTGGGCGTTGCCTACATCACAAGAGTGACACAGGAGATTAAAGCAATGCAGCGAACATACCTAATTCAAAAACCCCAAAACGGAGGCACCGACTTGATGGGTATCCGCCTCCGAAGAACATGTTGAAGAGATCTTCGGGTGAAATGTCCGGCTCAAAGCTTTCATTTTCCTGGCCGGTGCTTGAAGGGTGCCTTCCCTCTTCCCCGCATTGGTCGTACTGTCGTCTTTTGTTGGCGTTACTCAGAACTGCGTAGGCATTTCCAATAGCTGCCAGAAATCATACGTGTCGAGGTCAGACCATGTTTTAAAATATAAGAGCATATGTACAGCCTCTCTGTCCTTTACTTTAAGAAGTTCCAGCAATAACACCAACTCCGGAGATCAGATTACCTTTAAATGCCTCTGTTGCACCTGGAGCATGATTCTTGTCAGGATGGAATCTCAGAGCAAGTTTTCGGTATGATCTCTTCAACTCATCCTCAGAGGCGTCTTTCTTAACCCCGAGGATTTCATAGAAGTCTTTACATTGCTTAATCCTGAGAGCAGAACATGTCATTAAGAATAGCCGTTACCATGTAAGAGCTGTCAACGTGTCATCAAAATGTTCAGCGCGTCTGCACCTTCTCACTGCCTCTAGCTGATCTGCCATGTATGGTTTGGAGGAGTCTGCGGGCTTTTCTTCACGTCTAGAGTCTTCACCGGTGCTCTGTCGTTGCCGAGGCCCCGAAGCTCCGGGGAAGTCTGAGTGGGACCCCTGTCTGGGTGTGAATCCATTCTTTGCTATAAGATCCAGCAGAGCTAGAGGGCACAGAGTCACAGCCATCACATATTTTCAACGGATGCTGGAAAGCCACAGCGCTGTTGGTTAAAATCACTGGGAGAAAAAGACAGCTTGCAAATCAGCAGAGGTTGCTATGCATAAACTTTATCACTGAAACTCAGCTATTCTTACTTCTGAGATTAAGTTATTCTTAATTGAGGTATACTTTGATTTTCATTCATGTGAAGTGGACTAAATATTGTAACACCAATTACTATTTTAACATTTGTGACAATGACATTTTTTACTTCGCCTTGGCTGAAAGAACACATTAAGATAATTACCAAATGACAAACTGACATGTGAGAAAAATAACATGTTCTGAGGAATAAAAGGAAATTACACAGGACAGGAGTAATTAATTTGATGACTTTAAAAATATTCAAAAGAAGGAAGGTTTGCAACTGGTCTCATCTCAGCATCAGTGGCAAGAAGTTGGTCCTTGTGACTGGAAACGACTTGATAAAAGGTACCAATTCAATGTAATTCTTGAAATGTACAATTTTCCTGCAAAACAGTGTTCTCAATTCATCTTTGGCAGCATAAAGTCAAGTTGATAAAGATAATGGTTTCAACTATGAGAGCAATGTGTCTTATTCTGGATCTGAAACACAAAGTTCAAAACTTGGGATTTTGCAAAATACAGAGGTATTTCACCTGTCTCTTAAATGCACACTGCGATAAACACTAAACATGCATAAAAACAACACTATCAGTTTCTCTCTCATCTCTTCTTTATCAGCTGGTGTACTGTTTCCACTTAATAATGAATGATGATGTAACTTGTTCTAGCAAATGAATATACTCTCAGATGCTTCCATGTGCTCCTGATGGAACTAAGGTGATGTCAGGTCTGCTGTAAAAAAGTGTACTTGTGTTAAAGCCCTGTCATATCTTTGGAGGATGTAGGATGCAGAGGGGTGCAAGGCACAAACGTATTCTGGCAAGGCTGCTTTTTTCATTTCACATTTTGCATGCAAACTCACTGTTCTGTATTTGCTTCTGGTGTGTGTTATATTTGTGTTAAGAGTGTGTGCAATGAAGAGGGACGGTAAAATCCCAGGGACCTTGTTGATCTAGGAAATCCAGTTCAACTCTTGCCTTGGAGTTGACCGACTTTCGAGTTTAGACTTTAGATTTCTATTGACACATAATTAAATTACAAATCCAACATAAAAGGAAAAAATCATACTGCACGTTTGAGTGTCTTTCATGTTCCTTAAAAACAAAGAGAATGCAGTGAGACAGTTAGCCGGCATGCTATCGGAGGCCCGGCCTACATGCGCAGCTCCTCCGGGATGCAGGTGATGCTGCAGGTGATGATGCTGCAGCTGCAGTGTCCCCTCACCCTCAGCTCGGCCATTTTAACTCACCCTCGGCTTTATCTGTCGGGAAGAGTCTCTGCGCCTTCTCCAGGAACCTCAGCGCCTTCTCCAGCTGGTGGCCGTTTAAGGCCGCAATTGCAATGTCTATGCATCGCTCCGCTTCATCCCTGTTTACTTCCATTGCAGCAGCAGCAGCAGCGGCGGCGGCTAACTGAGCTAGAAGTAAATACAGGCGCTTGTTGATGACGTCGCGTTGATGCTGCGAACTGGCAAGCGTATGTCAAGGACAGGTGTCAATTCACCATCTTCAGAGACAGGTTTTGCAACAGACAACGAGATAAAGCGTTTTCTAAGGCAAGGGTAATCTCTGTTTTAACTGTCTGACAGAGCCATGGCGGTGCTGTTTCATATTTCCACAAGGTGGCGACAAATCCTTGATTTTCAAATGTAGGTCATGAAATGAGAATTTAAACTAGCCAAAAATCGTTGACCCGGTTTAATGTTCAGACCAGTTATGTCTTATTGTGGCTTGTGGTCTGAAACTTTATTCTTAATTTAACACGAGCACAGGCTGATAATTTCCAATGCATTTAATAGCATTGTTGCATATTAGTTCAAATAAAAAAATGATTTGCTCTCCAACCATATTTTAAAAACATGTTATACTTAGATAAGTTGAGCTGTTCAGTGATAAACTAAAACGCACAATAACATTTCTGTTCGTATGTTATAAGCTTTGCTGAATTTGTTTTACATGCTATTTTTTGAAGCACGAGTATGACGTATTAAAATATTCTCTTTTTCCACTCTGAGGAACTAGCGGAGGTCTTCTTCCACTAGTTGAGAAAATCATTCCAGTTTACACCCCATTACTCTCACTGTATCGCTACAAACTTGAGAGTGGAAATATGAGTGCAATTAATTCAATACAAGTCTAGACAGCAACAGCACACCAGCATTTGCTCTCTATGGGAGGTGAATCTACATCTGGCAGTCCAAAGAATGAATAAAAGGTGAACAGCAGATAGAGAGACAGCCAATTGGAGCACGAGTTTGAGGCGGCATCGTGGCGCTGATTGGTTAGAATCGCCGCGAGCCCAATCCCTCATTGATGCATTCGCTGCAGAGCTGACTGTCGTTTTTCTCTTTCTGGGTTACTGTAATTTTGGGTCAAACAGACCGGCATCTGCTTCATCGAATTTGTTTTTACGCGTCAGCCTGTTTTTGGTGAGTTTATTTATCGGCGTTTGTTTTTTCTTACATCACTGTTACGCAACGCAGCCAGTGTCGTGTATCAGCTATAAGTGAGCATCATCATTTTATTGCCGCCCTCCTCACCAGCGCCAACTAGCAACTCGCGGAGCTAGCTGCAAAAAAGAAAATTACATATTCACCGTTTGCGAGATTTTTCGTTGTCTGGGGCGCTAAGTCATTATATAAAAGAGCGAGGTGATCGATTTTTCTTATCTTTGTCGCTCAGAGCATCACCAAACCGCGGCCACAATGACGGAGGCGGAGGCGTTGGAGAAGAAGCAGCACAAGCCAAGCAATGGGGAGGTTCGTTCTGGAACAGTCATAGAAGACGTGTTTGATAACACATACAAGGAGAAAGAAGGCCCGAAACCTCCCAGGATCATCGTATGGAAAAATGTCATAATGATGACTCTGTTGCACATAGGAGCTGCGTATGGCTGCTTCCTCATCCCTTCAGCATCCCATTTGACCTTGCTTTGGTGTAAGTTTAAAAAAAAACCTACCTGTTAGAGCATGTCTGTGCACACTGACTTCTTTTTTTGTTAGGGGAAATTTCATTTTCACAAGTTTAGAGGTGTTATTTTTAGCAGCATGGCTTTCTTTTTCATGACCGGTGGATTGAAGATCTATGCATGATCCTCCCAGTCCCCTCTGAGGGGATTATATATCATACATCAGCATAGGTTTCATAAGCACCGCATGCATCTTACAGCTGAAATTTCTGTCAGGAAAAGAAACGTAATAACTGGAACCCTTTTTTCTAACGAGTCATTAGTTAAAAAGACTGCGGATAAGTTAATACAAGAAAGAAAAAAAAGCAGATTTTTAACAGTTTCATAACAACTGGTTAGGTGGGAGGGTTCCGGTGTGAATTGATTTAAAGCGTCTAGCTTAGTAATCAGAAATCACTTTTCTCCATGTTAATGATTTACATGTAAATTCTTTATTAGGTTTAATTACACTCTAATCTTAATTTGATTATTTTGAATCAATTTTACACAAATGTGTTAATCTTCTAAGTGTATGGATAATGTCTTGAAAATAGGAGCATCAGTGTCCAATCATAAGCAGCTTGTGGTCTGACTGATTTTGAAATGCTTTGTCGCTCCACAGCTTTTTTTTGTTTTTTGATAAGTGCATTGGGAGTAACTGCTGGAGCTCATCGCCTGTGGAGTCACAGAGCGTACAAGGCTTCAGTCCCGCTGAAGATCTTTCTGGCATTAGCAAACTCCATGGCATTTCAGGTCTGTAAAACTAAGGAGCTGGAGTTGTTTTTTTTAGAGTGGATTATTTTTTACAATTGTAGAATTACAGTGCCTGTTTATTAATTATTTTTTGTCTACCTTTCCAAATACAGAATGATATTTTTGAATGGGCTCGCGATCATAGAGTTCATCACAAATATTCAGAGACAGATGCTGATCCCCACAACGCTGTCCGGGGATTCTTCTTTGCTCATATTGGCTGGCTGCTGGTGCGCAAACACCCCGATGTAATTGAGAAAGGACGCAAGTTGGAGCTCCATGACCTGCTAAACGACAAAGTAGTAATGTTTCAAAGGAGGTAAGCAGTTTGGGTCAGTGACTGATTTTACAGCTCACACAGTTTCCACGTGCAAGGATAGTGCAGGTCGTTATTTACACATATGGCGCGTTTATCCTTGATGGAAACTAGATTTGTTTATCTGGTTTTGCAAGTTCTTTTGTGCATGTTTAAGCATACTAAATGCATCCATGAAGTGTCTTATAAGAAGGAAAGTGACATTGGGAAAATATACTGGTTAAAACTCTTGCTTCTTGCTGCTCCTCAACAGACATTATAAGACGTCTGTGCTGCTCTTGTGCTTCTTCATCCCAATGGTTGTGCCTTGGTACTTCTGGGGAGAGTCTCTCTGGGTGGCGTATTTCATCCCTGCTCTGCTGAGGTACACCATGGTGCTGAACGCCACGTGGCTGGTCAACAGCGCCGCTCACATGTGGGGAAACCGGCCCTATGACAAGAACATCAACCCCAGAGAGAACAAGTTTGTCACTTTCAGCGCCATAGGTATGAACTACACTCAGCTGCATCATCATGTAAATTCTGTTTGGGCATATTTAGACAGTGGGAAATTGAAAAGAGATTGATCGTTTAGATTCCGTCGTTTCACTGTAGAACTTTAAAGGAGCAGTGTCACCGTGGTAGTGCAGAGATGGTGTGTCCACACATGACCTACATTTAAGTGCACAGAGGGATCCAGACATGCAGGCTTAAGTAATGTTTGCACCAAGTTGAAAACAGACTCCTGCCCACTGTCAAACTTGCCCTACAGGTTCATGTACAGATATAATCATGTGAACATTTCAAATTTAACCAGATAGTTATCGATTTTTGTGTTACATCAGGGATTTTGCTTTACTAATTTTTATATGCACTGTTGGTGAAAAACATCTACTACAGTCTGTGACGTTTAAAGTACAAGACTGGTTTTATTATTAGAGCTCTGTAATTACATTGCTTCTCCTTGTTAAAAAACTTTATGAGAATTAAGCTGCAAGTTTGCAAAAAATGTCTTTCTTAGCAAGTTAGACCAGGTGTCTGTTTGTAAATTTGGACCCACCCATCACTTTCCTACAACCTGCTTCAGAGCATATCAAAATATATATCTGTGTCAGATGATATGCAAAATGTGTAGAAATCCGATTTCTTAGTCTATATGTCTGTTTCCCACTCACCTAAATGACTGTTTGCCAGCATTTATTGTTAATAGCAACAAAGCTAACCTGGAGGCAGCCATGTTTTTTACCCCGCTTTAAGCATCGAATGCGCTGAGGTTCGAAAATGTGATTCGAGTTCCGACTTCCTGGTTGCATGGACTCCTGCATAAATACAACAGGCCCGTATTAGTGATGTGGACACAGGTAAGTGAGTTGAGAGGCGGGTCAGGCGACTGCAGACAGACTTGGCAGGAATGTGGGCGTGGCAAGGGTACAGTGGCACCAGAATAAGACCATGGAAGCAAAACCAGCAAGCTTAGGGAAAACGTCTTAACCTCAACTATTAAAAAAAGAACAAATCTTGAAATATTCTCAAAGTTTGCTCAAGACTTAACCTCGAGAGTTTAGTGCAGATATGTTACATAGTCTTCTGGTTTTTCTGCGCTCACTCCCTGATTTAAACGCTATCATCACATGACTTGCTTACCCACTCTTGTTGTGATTACAGGAGAGGGATTCCACAACTATCACCATTCATTCCCGTATGACTATGCAACCAGTGAGTTTGGCTGCAAGTTGAACCTTACTACTTGTTTCATTGACTTCATGTGCTTTTTGGGCCTGGCCACGGACCGCAAGAGAGTGTCTCGTGAGGTTGTCCAAGCTCGAATACAGCGCACTGGAGACGGAAGCCACCGCAGTGGCTAAGAGAGGCGAATCCATGTCGGCTTCCAGTCAAGCCGACCCGCGCGAGGAAGATGAACAGCCCTTTGACAGTTAAACATTTCTCATCCTCTGAGGAGAAAAGTCCGCTTCATGAGGGCCTCGACCACATTTTGCTTGTTTTTTGTGGTTTTTGTAGCCGTATTTAAAATTGTTCAAGATGGAAAAAGAAAAAAAAAAATACAAAAAACATCCTTTGCTAAGCTCTTTTTAAACTTTTCATCCAGGCCAGGGGCTTGCAAATGTGTTCAGATTTGAAATAGATGCATTTTAAAAAGATAACTTCATTCTTCGCTGTTTTGCCACTTTGGTGTGCATTCTTCATGCAAACTCAGTCATGTAGCCTTTCGTTTTTATGTAAGTATTACTCAATTATTAATATAAAAAACAGCAAGAAATAGAGGACTGAAACCTGGAATAACAACCTTTTAACTGAAATGGGTAAATACTGATTGGAGACTGTTGCCTTTATTGCAGTTTTTGGCAAGTTTTTAATGAGTCTAATATGAGGATTCCTTATCTGAGCAGATTTGGAAAAAAAAAACAATGAGAGTTTGAGTAACCTTTTTTTAACAAAGCTTGTTGGCTTTAATGAAATACAGCACATGATGGCAGAGTGAGGGAACCCAGACCTTATTTTGACCCGACCAAACAGACGGGTAATCCCGTCAGCTTCCTTGTGTAACGCGTTTGCCTTCCACAGAAAAAACACACCAAATATGTCAAAAAGTCAAAGCACTTTGAGGAAAGATTAACATACGCTATATTTAGCCTATGTAATAATCGGATGGAGCTTTCTCATGAGAATAAAAGGGCCCCATTAGACGTCAGATTAAAACTGTTTAATCTTACCTGTAACATTTCATTGAGTTTGTTGTGTTTTTATTGAATATGCGATAGTGCCAAAAGCACCACCACCCCGTGTTCCATCAGAGTTGATGTTGCTCTTGCAGATTACTGGATTGTGGACATTTTTCAACATTGTGGCATCGGTGGCTTTTGCTTCAAAGATTTGCTCCTATTTTGTCCCCCTTTTGTCCAGAACCAGCTGCAGTAGAGCTCACTGGTTCCACTGGCACCAGTCATGTGACAGTTCTGGTGTTACAAAACAACATGCCACCCATGCATGGCCATATTCTGTAGTAGGTGTTGTGCTGAGGTAACGTGTCGGTGACTGTCATGGCAGAGCTGCGTCTATTTTTGTTCTGTGGAGCTGCGTCACTTTTGGATCATCAGAACTGTTGCCGTGGTGATTTCTGAGACGGGGTCTGGTTTCCCTTTGATGTCCTACAGAGGCGATTGTCATTTTGAAATTTTAGGCGCATCAATGTTCTTGTTTATCTGCTACTCTGGTGTGTGGAATGCTCCTTTAATTTATGTATTTATTTGTTGGGGTTTTTTTCTCTCTCTTTTTGACTAAGAAATGTTGTAACCTGCTATCTTCTGTGTTCTGAGATTTAGCAGACCATCTCGTATATTATGTGTAAGATATATCAAAACTGCAGCCCCCGTTTAGCTCTCCACAACAGTCAGGATACAACCTAATGCCTTATGACTCGACTCCATTCCCTCACCTCCCATTAGTAAAGACAACAAGGTTCAAGTAACACAACAAATCTGAATCCCGAGGGTTTACAGGCTAAAACAGCAGGTGGAATGTCCTTTTTATTCTGCCAGTTTCGTTTAGGCATATGGCAGCATTGCAGTCCGATTCTGTACATGCAAATAGAAGATTGAAGAGGTGATCTGATAGCAGCTTAACAGCTGGAGCAAATGTTCATTTGTGAGATTTAACTTGCAAAACAAGGGCCGTGTGGATGTTGGCAGCAGAGATGCTGCAGAGAGGAATGTCAGAGCGAAGTGGAGAGGCCATGCCGACAACTCCTGCTGTCCCAATGATGAGACAGGGATCAGAAGGTTTTCTGTTTCAATATGTCAAATCTCAATTGTGTGCTCTTCTGAAATAAAATTCACAATATTTTCAATACTCTCTTAATAACATGAACAGCTGTTTGTCTTTTTTTCTGTGCTACTTCTCTGTGGATTAGATGCGATTTCACCTGTAATAAGCACCTATGTTTAGTTTGACATCATTTCAGTTTTCTCAAAGCAGCAAAGCTGAAGTCAAATCCTAATTCTGTGAGAACACAGCTGGGAGCCATCGGAGTATCTGATGTGTAAACACGCTGAGCACTCAAGACGCCAGCTTTTTCGATGCTTTGTTACTGCTGCGTGTCCTCAGTGTAGTGGTGGATAAAATACTCCAATCCCATTCTGAAATATGGAACATTTTCAAGGTTAAAGCTTCCCTGAACCAAAGGTCCCAGGTGTCAGCTACATTTTGGGCACCTTATGGAGTCAAACTTGCCACAGTTATGCATTTATTTGAAGTATATAGCAGTGTCACAAGTTAAGGCACCACATGAAGTTAGAACATTTTATATTATGATCAATATGACCTTTCAAATATATACATTTTATTTACAAAGAATAGGATACTATACAAACTGATACTCTCAGTTCTTTAAGGATATGGAAAGTTTCGGATTCCAAAAACTCTCATATTTGTAAAATATTATAATACTTTTGCCAATTAACTGCATTTCCAAGTTCGGAATTATTTAATATCTTAAATGGTTTCCCAACACTGTACTGTTATTACATTCACTGGCTTCATAGATGACAAAAGGTGAAAATAAGAAAACGGGCACTTAGTTAATTTCGATGCTTCCTAGGCCTTATGTTTGTTTTACTATTTATTAATAGACTGTTTAATACTAGACTATCACTGAGGATGTTTTGATTAGTTATGCATTTGTAAATAATGTCAGAAATTGTTTCAGTTTATGCCACCAGCTCCCATAAAAAGTAATTTCAGTCCAATCTATTACTAATCTAGTGGAATAAAATTATTTTAAATCCAAATAAGTTCAGCTGATATTACACAAAAAATCCAATAAAAGGTTGATGCAACTGGGACTCAGTGAAAGACTGCAGTGTGAAAGCCCCTGAAACATGAGGAAACCTCTGGAACAACCACAGTTGACCTGTGAGAGAGCTTTGTGGAAAGAGGGGATCAATGCCAACGACAGCGCCTGAGTGGTGGCAATCTGTGGCTTTCTGGTGAACATCCAGTTTTGTCCTGAACTTCTATTGTCTGTCTTCTGTGAAGAAGGCCTCCGCCAGTAAATGTCTGATGTCCCTCCTTATTAACACTGCAGTTGTTGGCCTCTGTCTGGTTTACACAGGGCAGAGAGGAATGTAGGACCTATGTGACTGACCAGTTGGTCTCAGGTTAGAAGAACGTGGCTGTGAGAGTAAAAATAAAATTCTCCTGGCAAAAGTAGCTTTAACTCAATGCTAAAATACCACATTCACATATCCTATAAAATATTAAATAAACTGAGCCATGTGAGTCTGCAACATTTAAGAAGAACAACATCCAACAGTTGAAAAGCTGTGGCTGTTCAAATTAAGGTTATTATCTGAATGTATCTATTTTTTCCAAATTTTGAAAAAACTAGCAAAAGTTTTCTTATCCGAGCTGCAGACTGGGCGTCCATTTTAGTGTTCACAGCTCTCTCTGTATTTGAACTAGACAACCGGCAGAGCGTGACTCGATATTTGTGAGTTACCAGAGAACATTCCCCTCACCGGTAATGAGTCAGGGTGCTGCTGTGGGGTGATGCTGGTGTTGCCATACCCCCACACCGACGTGTCTGAGGTCAGGAAGGTTCATAAAACATTTCTTCGATGCTCACGCCATGCGCTTCACGGCATGACCGATTGGAGCCAATCGGCAGCGAGCTTCTGACTTCTGATACTCTTGAACCAATGGAGAGAGGGCGCGTGAGCCACCTGTGCCAGCTTGAATGTGTTCCCAACATCTTGCAGCCTCAGGGAAGCGGAGTATCAAAAGAGAAGTGGTGAAAGACGACGTTTTATGACCAGACAAGACCCGTGGAGTGACTTTTATGCATATGTGTGCTTGTGCTGAATGTAGGGAAATTGAAAAATCCAACAGCTGTCGCTGTTTAGTGCCAACGAGAGACAAAGTTAACAGTGCACGCAGAGCCGTTTGGTGGCCACAAAGCGCCGGATGCCCCAAATTATACAAAGATCAGGCGTCCACACTCAAAACTAATGTGGTCAAACTTAAATAAAACTCGCCAATTGTCTTGAAATGTACTTGGTTATTCTCTTTAATGGCTGGATCAAAGTAAATAATAAAGAAAATGTTGACTTATTTCAAACGACACTTTGTGTGGGCGTGTTTGGTCTGTGCTTATGAAACTGACATTTTCTACACATTAGGCATGGAGAAGAATAGTCATTTTGAACGGGACAGGTTGGTATCAGTTTATTATCACGCATACTGATAAACTCATAAATACAAGACCCTCACTGACAGCTCTGATGTGTTCATCAGTACAGCACACGATGATGTCCTGATATGACATTTTGATAACTCTTTACTTTACTTCAGCTCAGCTCTTCAATAAATGCTACTTCCTCAGATTATCCTTTTGAATTTGCAAATACTAAATGTTAAGGTATATAAATTACTGGCAGCTCACTCCAAAAAGCAGATAGTTAAATCCAATAGAGGAGAGCTAAAAAGAGAGAGCTGGAAACTATCTATGAACAGCCACTTATAGAAAATAAAAAATATCGTCCTTTATTAAATCAAACAAGGAACAATTCAGTGTTAGAAGAGTTTAGACATATTTCATGTGAAACTTTATTTGAAAAAAGATACCGAAATGAGTAAAGTAAGCAACATGGATTGTATAAATATCTGTGCAACCAAAACAGGCACACTGAGGCACTTTCCTGCCTTCTGCTGCCACAACACCAAATGATTCAGTTTCACGAGCAGCTACAAACATCTCAACCTTTTCTCTCCGACTCATCAGTTCATTATAAGCTGTATCATTGTTTGATCTAATCCAATACAATAATCATTTCATAACAAAAGCTGCCTGCATGGAAAGAGGGAAACAGCATCCACTACAGAGGCAGAGGTTACATAAATGGTTCAGGAAGGATGTTAATTCACAAAGTCAATAAAATTATGCTTTACAACGTGAATTCAACACAGTTTGGGAGTTAACATGGTAAAAATGCACACTGAAGCCAGTTGAAAATGAAAAAAAAAAGAGCTCCGAGCAGATGCTGGTAGAGGGTTAAGTTGGCAGAAAAATGAAAGACAAATCACTTGACAATCACAGTCTAACATTCTTCTGCAGTGCTTTGGCTCCAAAACACTGACTAAAACCCCTCGGCATAATTTATTGAGTGCAATCTATCTACAGCAGGAAAACAACCAGAGCTTACAGTGTTTATACCGGCTTTCGATGCTTTATGAGACATCTCACACTTGATATAGAGACACATTCTGTTCCTCCCTCATACAAAGTACACTGAAAGAGAGGATGGTCAGCACAAAGCAAACTTTATTCTTATGATTTCTGGAGGTGGGGGTCCTGGATTTTTTTTGTTTCTGCAGCTGGAGCGCTGCATGTGTTTAATGAAAACTTTCTGTACAACTGCGGGAGTGAGAGGAAAAATAAGCACAATGGACGACGGAAAGCACCGACTCATACGACCACAGCCTCCAGTTAAATCACTTTCTTCTTGTAATACAGCAACTACTGAATTCACACTCGATCACAACTTCCAGAATACATTCACCTTTTTGTAAAATGATCACAGCAACACCGACAAATCTACAGAAATCCACCTCTGTGCCCAAATCAACCACATCCTGCGAAAGGGAGCATGTACGACCGACCAGAACCAGAATCTTTGATCTCATGAGCCATTATGCTCGTCATTCATGTATTTCCTCAGGTCAAAAAAAGAAATAAATACATATTTAACAATGTGGTAACACTGAGGTGTATTCGGTGGTGTCTTCAGGGCGTTAGACACCCAGCTTGTTGGCAATGGTCATGAGCACTTTGAGGATGGGCATGAAGGCGGAGATCTCGCTGAAGTTGCTGCTGCTGACCACCTGCGTGTGGACCTCCAGGCCCCGCTGATAGTTCTGGCTCGCCACACAGCGACTGATCTCATGGAGCCCGTTTAGGATATTGTGAGTGAGCTTAAATAATAACAGGGAAATACCATTACAAAGTGGCCTCTGTATACATATGCAAATGATGATATACCACAAAATGGTGTCATATAGCAGACAAACCTTGATACAGAATGATTCATATACAATTTAAAAGTTCATGATAGAGTGACTCCTGAAAAGTGAACTGCGATTTGATGAGGGACTACAATATCATTATTTTCTTACGAGAAAGCATTACTTTAGTTTTTTTTCACAGGTCGGACAATCATGTAAGAAAATCTGGCTTTGATCCAACATATGAAATGCTGGTGCAACAGAACAGACTTTACGGTGCTGATAAGAATAGAAGAAATCATTTCACCAATATGGTGATCTTTTTCTTGGGTCATTTTATGGCTTAATAATAGTCTTGTTATAAAAAAGAAACTAAATCCTTACCGACTGCTCTCTCAGCTTATCGTATAGGTGCCCCAAACGTTTTCCTGCATCATCAAGTTTTCTTTTTGTTTGCTAAAAAAAACAAAACACACGTTAATTTTCTATCTATATAAAACAAAAAGACATATTTTTTGTTTATCGAGACAAAGAAAAAGCAAAACAAATGAATGGGCTTTGAAACCCTGAGACTCACGGGGTCTCCGGCTGCGAGCTGGCAGCGCTGCACCAGGCTATCGAAGGTGGTTTTGAGGACCATGTGCTCCGCTGGGATTTCTTTCTGCTCCACCCGCTCTGCTGGCAGCTGCTGTAGGAGCTGAGCGACGCAATTAAAGAAAATAAAAGACGATGACAGTTTTGCCGTGAGGATCACCGTGGAGACTTCAGACACCAACCTGTACGCTGGGCTCCTGAGGGGCTCCGGGGGGGACTTGGGTGTGGTCGTGGGGCTGTGAGGCCTCCACCGGGAAACCCATTACTGGAGCGGTGATGGGGGCTGGTGGAGCATAGTTATCAGGGAACTGCAACAACACAAAACCTTGTTGTTAGATCTACGTTGTTCTGCTGGCATCTGGGAACTGATTACAGGATCAAATATGACACGGTTTTGAAAGGATGGAATATCCCATGAAATATCGAAAAGAGTAATTTTACAAGGATAATTTAATGGGTACCTTCTTCTTTCTGGGTCCACCACGTACAGTTGGCGGGTCATTCCAGCCCTCTTGTGGTCCTTAATCAAGAGAAGGTTTAAAATTAGAAGAAAACTGGTAGAATTTTCTTTTTCCTCAGCCAAATACTGCCAATATAAAGCTGTTTTTAAAAGCTGTCTTCACACATGTTTTGTTGTTCTGGGGGCTCTCTGAGAAAATAAATGTCCATACGAGTGGAACCAGTGAATATGACTCCACTCGTCACAGCCAATAAACTGTCAGCATGATGGAGAAAATGGCAGCCTGACCTGCAATCCATAATGTAATCAGAACAAATCTATTGCTTTATTTTATTGCTTTTCTCTTATATATGCAAATAAAAAAATGTGGACAGAATATCTACTCAGATCTTTGGAGGTCATGTGTGACAACAACTATGTCGCTCAATGTCTTTCAGCCAAAGTTAGTAACATGGCACAGCAGGTCAATCTTCACACAGATTGTAGCAGTTAAAACAAAAACAAAAACAGCAAATATTCAGGCAGCATCCAACTATTCACTCAAAAGCTACAATATAACTGAGTATACTGTAAGCATGGCATCACATAAATCCACAAATAGTTGGATATGTTGGAAAATGCCTTCCTTGAGCTTTATTTAGCAACATTAAAAGCATTTTTATGTCATAGCTCAGGTCCTGGTACTCAACCATCCAAAATTAAACACCATAGTTACTGTAAGTATTTGATTCCAACTCTGCTGAATTGAATTCACTAAAAGCAACAACCAAGAAACCAGCAAGGCAAACCACTAAAAGCAAAAAAACAAACTTCATTCGGAGCATATATTAGGATTGTTGCACTGCATTGTACTAATTCATTTATGGCTCAGTTTTTCAAATGCAAACAGTTTGATGCTCTCCTATTCCATATCCAGCCCTAACCCTGTCACCTTGAGGATCACAATTGGAATTCAGCCACGGAAAGAACCCTGCAAGCCAAAAAAGGAATTTGAGCTGAACATGGACAACAGATTTTTGTCAGCAGCAATCGTGCTGTGATCCTTCTCTTAGCTTGAAATGCTTTGGAAATCATATGACAAAGCAACCCGATTGATGTAACCAACATTATGAGTGTACTGTGAGCAGCACCAGTCGCACCTGTTGGAGGAGGAGCTACGGCCGGAGCCGGGAAAGGCTTCACTGCGGGAGCTCCGGGCCCCCCCTGAGGATAGCCAGATCCCAGTGGAGTAAAAGGAGTATAGGGCCCGGAGGTTACAGGATGTGGCGGTGCCTGGCTGGAGGCGCCCCCCGGGTACATGGGAACTGGGGCTCCTGGTTGGGAGTTAGGGGGCATGAAGCCTGAAGATAGAGAGGTAGATGGCATGAAACTTGGCACCCCTGGACTTGGCATGGGGGGCAGGCTTCCAGGGGACATCGATGGCGATGGTAGCTGAGGCCCCGATAAGCTCGCCGCCGGCATAGATGGACCTGGAGGAGGGAAGGTTCCACCAGTGGACATGGGGGGCTGGAATGGTTGATGAGCAGTGAAACCTGAGAAAAACAGAAGTAATCACCATAGGATTGAATCGCATTCGCCAACGACACGGTTTCATCGAATATAGTACACAGGCTCAAACCTGGAGTGGTGGAAGGATGCTGTGGGTAGGACGGTCTCATTGCAGGGCGGGTCGCACTGGGCGGCATCACATGAGAAAAGGGTGGCAGACCGTGCCCTTGGTTGGGTGAAGGAACTTGTGGAGTAAAAACGGATGGGAGGGGAGTTTGCTGTTGTGGAGCCACCTGAGATGGCGCAGACGGCTGGTACTGACTCTGCGGCTGGAAGCAAATAATTACAACATAGAAAAATTCTTCATTAGTATAGAAGTAAGTTAAATCTGTTGGCGATTTTGTTGAGTTACGAAAAAATCCCAACCATAATTTGTGCTTTGGGTGCCGGAGTCTGAGCGGCAGGGTTCGGCTTTGCTGTGGGCAAACCGCCTCTGTTGAATGAGTTTGGAGGCTGTTGCTGGACAGCCTCACCCTGAGCATGAAACAGCCTTTCTCTCAGCATCATGATGCCAGACTGGGAAGACAAAATGGGCCGAAACAGCAGAATGTGGTTATTACAAGCCAGCTGAACAAAAACAGTGGTCTCGTGTATCCGGTCTCGTACTTGGTCGGAATTGTCAGGCAGGTAGCTCATGGCTGTGGTCAAGCTGCCCTCTGCGGCCAGTATGCCGGCGTAGCAGGTCAGCTTTTCGGCCAGGATGGGGCTCTGAACTGCCACCTCGCTGTTACGGAGGCGTTCAATTGATTTACGCAGCATCATTACTTTTTCGACCAGATCCTGAAACACACAGACACACACATGTCACTGAGTAGCTATATCACTGCAGGGTTTTCCTAACATAAAATGGAAAATTTAAATTTTTGGAGATAAAAAAAAGTCCAACTCAAAGGTTTACCGTTAACTCTAAATTCATTAGACAATACTTTAGTGCTTGTTTGTGTTGTGAAGTTGAACATATTTCAATTTATCAAGATTTTACCTCTAGACCCAGAGGGGAGGAGCACTCTCTATGCAAGGCCCAGCACTCCACTAACTTCTCGATATTCCCAGAGCAAATGTAACACAAGCAGGCCTGCAGGCAGCGCTTCTCTGTGCCCTCATGCTCCAGCCGGTTTCCCAGGGTATCTAACAAGACCAAGGACATGGTAAGACACAGACTGAAGGCAGAGGTTGGACTGAAACTAGAACCACGAGTAGAGCTGAAATTGTTACAGAGCAATGCAAGCTGCACCGTGAGCCGTGTGTCACCACAGATGAACTTACCGCACAGACAAGCAAACTCTTCAGGGTGAGCATAGGTCAGCAGAGCAGCGAGAGCTTCCTTCCAATTGTCCAGCTCACAGCTTTGCACAATGTCCCTCCAGTTCTGGGTCACCACTGATGATATAAGCTACAGTTGGGGACAAATGAATGACCTTACCTCAAAGTGGAAACACGAGCCTGTTGTGCATGTACAAACGGAGCGGCAAAGACACATTCTTACCATTGAAATGCTGTTTTTTTGTTTACTAAGGTACTTCTGCTGCGTCTTCTTGAGCAGTTCTTCTCCTCCGCTGATGGACAGCAGGATGGCCTCAGCGTAGCGGCCGTCATTCAGACACAAATCCACAGCTCCCTCAAAGTTACCGACCAGCAGCGCCTGGCTTATCAAACCATCAGCGTCTGCAAACACGACAATATCAAAGATCTAGCATCCAGTGATTGAGGGTAAAATATGATGAGCTGATTTAAAATAAATAAATAAATCAGACTTGTGAAGGAGAGCTTTACCACATGATACAGGGATCTGGAAGTTCGAGCTTTCGTTGGGGGTCTGACTAAAAAAGTCTGCAGGTGAAACGGAGCCTGAGGTTCTGGCATCAGTTGCTGCTTCATCAGACCTCTGAAAGCAAAAAGAAGTGGTCAACATCCAACCGGAGCAACAAAACAGAAGAACACAAAACCGCTGCTGACCTCGGTGGAAAGCCGCTGCATCTTCTCTGCGAGATCTTTGGCGTCTACTCCGTGTCCATTGGGCTGGAAATTCTTCCCCAGGCATTTGGAAATCTGAGTAAGCAACACCCATTTTGCAGCTTAACCACAAAATATAACCCAAATGGACGGCAAAATGATTCTGGTATCAATTTCAGTTACAACCATGAGACTGAATACCTTTCTCTCCAACTCATCTTTGCTAAAGCCCAAAAGTTTGAGGAATTTAATGCGGGCTTCATCCTCAAAATTAACCTGGAAACAGAGGGGGCTGATTATTTTAACATGTCAAATCATTATGCTGCTTGAAAGACATGACTATCAATGTCGGGAAAGCCCACCAGTAGGAACTTCCATATGTCCTGTTCAGCGTCTGATTTGGCATTCTGAATCTTGGCTTGACAGTAGTTGTTGAAGGAACCCGACTGCAGGGCTGCTTGCAGCTCCCTGGAGCGCTGAAGGAACTCTGTCTCCGTGGTAACCTGGCTCACAAATACTTGCCTGGGGACGGGTTGGGGGCTCTGAACTGGAGGCAGCTTGGAATTCTCAAAGGTTATCAATTTTCCACCAAACTGAGGGGAAAGAAAGGGTATAAAACACAAAGAGAGAAAACAACTTTTTCATTAACACGAACATTTAGGCAACTAAAAAATTAAGTGAGGGGTTTTCTTAGTTGATCAAGGTCGAAATTGTTAATTATACAAGATTAACATACTTTCAATAAGCATGGTTGTGCTTTTAATTTAGTTCAAATGCATTTAAATGAGACATTGTTAAAAACATTTCTCTTTCACTCACATTCACATCTATAACTGAAGTGAGGCAACTCGATCTACAAAATGCAATCCAGTTTGTTTCAACTTTGAACAACAACACAAAAAAACCCTCAGGAAGCAGCTGTGTCCCCTTATGAGCTCTGCCTCGACATGCATTGTTTTGGTGTGTCTCTGCTTGCAGAGGTGGCATGAGAGGCACTGGCCTGCTCACCAAAGACTGAGAAAGAAAGGCTGCACAAAGAGGATGTTACTATTTGGATTGCGAAATGTGACAAAACAGGAAGAGAAGATAAGTTCGGTTTCATTCTCAGTCTCACTCTTTACCACTGATTCTCCCCGATAGGTATTTGTCTCTGTTCCTTGTTGGTGGCTTTAACAACCTATTTAGGTAATTAAAGTGTATTCAGACATGTTAGCCTGGTTGTTGCTGCATTAGTTTGTGCTGAAGGTTGCAGTTCTTTTGTCACGATCTACACAAATTTGAACTTCTATGTAAGATTGAAATAGCGTTACTCAACCCTAATGGATACAAAATATTTGTACGTACAGCAAAGGAAGCACCAACTGGCCTGCGGACCCACTTGGGTGGCTTCTTTAGAGGAGGAACGATGGTGTCCTGCACGGCAGGCTGAGGAACCTGCAGGGGGGGCAGCACCTGCCCTGTTCCAAAGGGATCCATGGCATCAAACGAGGAGGAGATCTGTTCAGAAGAAAAAACATGGAAAGCTAAAATGAAAACACTTCTTTGGAGTTATTGATTATTATGGATTAGTGTAATAAATGTTGAAAGTAATAACCATCTGCGACAATGCTTATTATTATTCTTTTCAAGCTCATTATTCATTTGCAGCCACATCTTGCATTTAATAACCTGATAAGTGAGTTCAATGTTCAGTTTTTCATCCTGTTCATTTGTCCTGCACACCAGCACCATCTTGTGGACAAACAGTCCAGTTTAATGCTTGAAAATTGTGCTTAAAATACATACGGACTGTGAGACCGGGTACTGTTTTACCTTATCAGCTGTGCTTTGTTGCTGAGCCTTTAGGCTCCCTCCCATCACAGAGTAAACTGTTATTCTCCCATCAAATGATGCTGTTGAAAGCAGTGCTGGGTTTCTGGGGCACCACTGGACATCAAAACACCACTGGTTGGTTGTTGGAAGCTCATAAATGACCTAAAATGAGGAGAAAGACACCAGTGAAACTTTATTTAACCCTCATAATTAAACATTTCTGAGTTGAGGCTGTTCCAGATTGACAACAGCAGAAATTAGCGTCTGATACTGTACCTCTCCAGTGTTTGGATTCCAGCAGAGGATCCGGTTGTCTTTAGCACTACTCAACAGGAGCTCAGAGTCAGCTTGGCTCCAGGATATTGAAAGAATTCCCCTGTAACACACCATATCAGGGTATATTCAGGGCAATCTGAAAGATTACAAACGAATGAATACAGATGAAAGGTAACAAATTCAACCCTTACCGTGTGTGGTTCTCAAAAACCTTAAGAGGCGATGTGGCAAAGCGGAGGTCCCACATCTGGATAACTGGGAGCCGATCATCTTCAGAGGCCAACACTAACTGAGTGGCCACATCAGGATGCCAGAGCATCCCTGAACAGTGCATCTATGAATCACACAAATGAAATTTATAAGAGGGATTTTCTACAGGGTGATTTTTTGTTTTTAGGCCATGTGAAATAATATGTGTCTGAAGTCAATTAAACCAAAATTGCAGCCACCAAGCATTATTATTCAACGTTAAATTTCTAGTAGTAAAGGCACTGTATGATTCATCCATTTACTTAAATGTTAAGGATCAGTGAATCACAGACAAGATTTTAAACATGAGGTAGTGTACAATATGTGTGAATATCTGTGGGGGGAAAAAAAAGACAGAAGTAAATCTGGACTAGCAGTAGCAGTGTTAAAGCCACCAACCCTGTTGCTGTGATCGCTGATCTTTATGATAGGCTCATTTTTTCTCAGGTCCCACACAACTGCTTTTCCACTGGGGCTGGCAGAGGCCAAGATGTGCTGAACCTGCCTGTTCCAGGACACCACACTTACATCTTCAGCAGGCTGAAACAAGACACAGAAGCCGTTAGTGTCAACAACAAAAAGATGATAACGAGAATGAGGGAACCGGAAAACCGTGGCTATCAAATGCATTTGTCATAATGACGCTGTTTGGACATAATGAATAACCGTTTAAATGAACTGTCTGACATGGATTCAGGATCATGATAATAAATAACTCTCCCAGAACTTCAAATAACTTAGTAGGAGAAATCATTTTATCCAATATTTTAACCCTAACACTAAAATACAAGGGAACCTGTCTATGGTGTTGGTAGTATCTCACAGACATGAAACTACACAAATAAAATCAGAATTTGGAAACTGCTATTTGGGGGAGGGTGGGAATTGTGGTTTCAGTAATGGGTTTTGACACTGCAGCATTTGGGTGCAGATCTAATATGTTAACACTACACATGAATGTGTAACTATCATGTCTCCTCTGACTGCTCATGAAGTACCCACCTGTGTTTTTGCTCCTGGAGTCATTGGGCTGCTGAAGTTGTTTAGATCCCAAATATAGATCTCGGAATCATTTGCTCCTGATGCAAGAAGATTGCTCTGAAAAAGACGAATATTAAGAGAGCCAATGAGGAACGTTTTGCATGTGCCGCTACAAACTGTCTGTAGTCACAAAGATAAGACATTTACCTGAAAAGGGTTGAAATCAAGTGCTCGAACGGGCCCTGTGTGTTTGTCAGACTGCCCCACTATTGCCTCTGCACCAGAAGTCATAATAGCCTCTGGGCTGTATACGGTCATGGTGCCATTTTCGCTCCCACCAACGATTCTCCCTCCAGTGCCATCCGTTCCCATTCCAAAATTTACCCAAACAATGCTGTGCAGCCTATGAAATCAGACAAGCAAAATGAGTTACAGCCTTACTACAGTGAGTAATGTGTGACACACATAATTAGAACAGCTTTAAGATTAATTTCTAAAAACCTTACATCAAATGTGTATCAGTGAGGGCACAGTTATAAATAATAAGGCAGTGACACTGCAAACATGTCTACACAAAAACTTAGTTTTCTTTAATTAAAATATTTAAATTGGTGAAAAAATAAAGATTACAATACTTACTTAAAAAGCAACCTGTCTCTTAAAAGTCATTTTACAAAATCTTTTAAAAACAGAAATCAATTGCTGTGGTAGGAATTACATTTAAAGAGCACAATACAGTGTCATATTTACAGCCATACATGTAAAGCTGTCGTGGGCTGTCATGGTATGTGACACAGTTCAAAAGCTTTGGACTTCTTGCCGTTAATGTATAAAATGAAAAACAAATTACCGGTACCTGTTTGCTGTGGGTAATGACCCTTTGAGCTGCATTTCGAGAGAGGAATCAGCAAAGTCCATCTCAAATATCTCTATGGCTGCAGTTGTGTTGAAAGAAGCATCCAGCTGTTGTGCTGATGTTCCTAAGGCCAGGTGGATAGGATGGTGCCCGGCCGGACTCCACGCCTGGTGGGCTGTCCGTTGGATTTCCTTCAGCCTCATCCTTTATACAGGTGTTTGAGCTTCAAATCCTGGAAAGATGAATGTACCTCACTAAAACATTGTCAATATTCAGCATTCCTCCTCGAGAATGTTGTGAACGAATACCCATTTTTCAACTTGCTTGCTTTGCTTAACCAGTCTGTCAACCTAATGGGATCAGGAATCCGACTATTACCTGCAACTCTCAAGAACTGGAAACACATTTCCTTATCAGCTAGCTTTCACTCGTCAAAATGTTTGGAACATTAAACGTGGCCTACACATGAGTGGAATATATTTATTACATTCAATGATATAACTGAAAGGATCATTAAGGTGCATATTCAACTTAGCTTCCTTGGCATGTAGTTAGCCTACGTTAGCATCTCGCAATCATGTTTCACGGGTTTTGAGACTGCCTTCGTAACTCTAGCTCACTGTAAACAGAAAAAACAGCCAAGATATACACTATCCTCATCCTATGTTCCAAGATTTCACCAATATTCCATGATCGCGTTAATGTAAATCAGAACTGACGTAGAAGTAAATGCCTGGTATTTTAATTTCAGAGCATATCCTGAGCCAATGTTATCAAGCTAGCTAACAGCCAACACCCCAGTTACCATATTTAAACGGCAAAGAACAATACCGTGAATCAGCCTTGCTGAAACTACGTTAAATTATATTCTTTATTGTAAAATCAACTTACGTCAAATGTCTGTATCACAACTTGGCTGTGAGCACATACGAGCTCCAGAGCTACTTATCAATCAAGCTAACAGCTCAGACCAAAGTGCTTTGCCGTGTTGTCACTATGCTACGGTGGCCGGCGAGGATATTCTACATTTCCCGTTGGCCTGAATGACCTGGCGTCACCCAACCAACAGCATCCTAAAAGAAGCATTTTTTTTCATCAGAAATTCATCATGCAGTTATTATGTTCCACAAAACCTTAGGAGTGTTGTCAAATCATTTTATAGTGTTTTTTTACTAATCTAAAATATTAATTGTAAGTAAATATTTTAGACATATTAAAGAAAAATCTGTTTGCACAGTTGACTTTCTTTCCCCAATAAATGTCACAATCATATACAACAATAGTTATTTTTAACATAAGTCTTTATTCTTCACAGGAATATATACAGAAATACAACTGTTTGAGTCATTAGATTTCATAATGTTTGATCTCCTCTGGCTGTTTTTCAGGATCGCCTCCCCGCTCCAAGTACAGGTCGTTGAAGGGATATTGCTTCGGAGCCTACACCAGAAGACAAAAGTTTTAATGAAAATTGGTATCTCTTTAATAAATATACAATATCCCATATGGTTAGAAAAAGAAAATAGCACAAAAAACAATGAAAAAGTCAAAGAGAATCCCTGACCCCTAATTCTGTGTGACTTTCACAAGCAACACTTTAAAAAAATGAATTTTTATTTCTACAGCTGCTAACACTATCGCTATCAGAGAAAATACTTCAGATAATAAATGTGTATGCCTAATAATATACTTACAACAGGTTGGTAGGATGGTAATTGTTCCCCCACGTAAAACATAAACAACATGAACCCGATAAAGCCAAACAGTTGTTTGCACATTGTGGACCATGGCACAGGGCTGGGAGATGTATCCACACGGTTCCTGATGTACATGTCAAAATGCCAGTGCATCTAAAAACACAACAAACAGTCAGTTATTACATGCCATCGGCCATATGAAATAGCTAACCTTTGTTATTTGTGACACAAACGCTGCTGCGTGTGGAGAAACTGATGCAAAAGAGTTACTGTGTGGCACACAGTGTTAAAATGATCAGCATTTTAAGAATAACAAAACCAAGCTACAGCATTATTAATATTTTTACCTTAGATACTTTATTCTTACATATCTATTTTTTTATAACAACATATTTGTACAAAATGAATTGTAAAAAGAGACTAATAAAAGCACAATCACGAAAGCCCTTCAGCATAATTCACAAAGCAACTGTTAATCGAGACAGTTGTAACATGGTGAGAGAGACAGAGCCATCTCAATATAGCAGTGCACATCAGCATCTCACCGGCTCTCCCCAGTTCCTCCTCAGGTCAGGGTGGTCCCATTGGTACCAGGGGTCTCTCTCATGTTGAGACCTATCCGGTAGTTTTGGATAGTCACCGAAGCTAAAATAACAAAAACAATGGCATACGGTTGTCAAAGGAGCCAGTTATTGACACTGTAGGCAATATATGCGAATGCATTGCACTCATCCTTCCAGTACGACACAAGCAATGTAAAGTTTAACCTACGATGACGAAAATAAATTAGAGAATAATGTTCACCCTTCGCCATTGTCGGGATATGGTTCATAGTCCTCAACCCTCATGTTATACTTCTTTGCAGCGGCAGCTCTTTCCTCAGGGGTCTTCGGATACGGACCCGGTAGGGTGCCCTTAGAGGCGCCAGAGGCTGCAACAACAATAACAGCATTAGTGAGCCATGAAAAAACAACAATTAAAAGGTTCCTCGCCTCAAACAAACGAGGGCGCATCACTTCCATTCAAAAACAGCGACTGCCGCTCAGCATTCATAAGCTAATGTTAGCACGTCAAGGTTACGTCCAGGAGAGGCTTAAAACTTTACATTTGGACTCATATCTTCAGATTTATTCATAATGTAGCTCTGGGGAAAAAAGCTAAGAAAAACTAACCTGCTCTGCATCCAGACAAAAGGGCTGAAATGCCAGACCTTTTCCCTTTAGCGAGAGCGTCGGCCCACCGTCTGAAGCCAACACCAGCCATGTTTACTGGCTACGGTTGTCTGATACATTGAGAAGTACGCATGCGCAAGTGTATAGGTATGGGATGCTGGAAGGCTCATTTTAACACATCCAAGTGTATCCAGGCTTTTTAAAAGTTATTATAACTTCTAAGTAAAAATGTGCACTCAAATAAAATACTACTGGTAATCATTTGAATAGTTAATTTAAACAAAATTGACTAATAATTTTCTAAATTATATGAGGATTCTATGATGACAATATGAGGATTCTGAAAACATACTATAAAATAGGATTTGTGGCTTCTTTTCAGATTTCCGGGAGTTTTCTAGATAGTTATGTTTTGGTGTGTTTCAGTTTTTGTCTTTCACACAAACCCATCATGGTAACATGTCGCATTGATGTTTGTCCTATGAAGTTTTTTCATCCCCGATAAAATTAACTTTCCTTTCAGTGCCTCTTTTTTCACTCAGAACTAACTGCTAATTTACTGTTCCATTTAACAAAGTTGGAGAGCAATCATAAACACATCGATATAATTTTGCAATGTTTTATTCAGATTTTCTATTTAGATCAGCATACACCACCCCATTTGAGAAAAATTGGAAAAAACACTCCACTGGCTGAAGGGAGCTTGCTCTCAGAGTGAATGCACCAAGCTCTGAGGCAGACTTGTCTTCACATCAGATCGAGCTCAGGTGCACATGTACATTTGCTGAGGGATCATCATATTGCCACTGGTCACAGACTGAACAAAACATGTCAGAGAAGGTCTGCTATGTCCTTTTCCACATTTTCAAATGGGCAGTGTAGTTCGTACCTGCAGTAAAGGAAAGGCACAGTTACAAATATAAAAAAAAGGAGTTTTATCAACTTGAGGTCTGCAGTTTGACTTTACCTTCTGAAGGGAATCCCATCTGCAGTAATGAGAAACCTCTCAAAATTCCACCTTATGTCATTGACTTTGATTGGGGACCAGAAAAGCTTCTTTGTTTCGCCAATAAGAGGATTCACAAATGGCAGATTTTCCTGTGAAGGAGAACAAGAAATTACTGTTTTTCTGTGCTGACATAAACATATAT